TGGCAGTGGGCGGGCGCTGCATGAGGTCCATGTGGCCGATAGCTCCAATCCCACGAAGCCCTTCAGGACGATGCCTGGGACTGGGACGACGGGCCCTTCGGGAAGACCGGCCGTGGCCTTCGGAGAAAGTCGGTTCTGCCGAACGGTTCCCCGTTGGACGATTGTTCTTTATTTGGCCACGTCCACAACAGTGTAAGGAGGAAGGTCCCTGGAACCCGGGAGCAGGTTTCTACAGATTCCTGTGGTTCTTTTCGTCTTTTTCACTCCCAACATCCACAGGGTGAGAACTCAGATCCACAGGATCTGCAAGACCTGGGTCAAGAAGGCCATGGAGGAGAACTTCCTCCAGGGCGACGAGGAGAAGCTCCTGGGCATTCCGGTGCAACCGCTCTGCGACCGGGAGAAGGCGAAGATGGCCTATGGCCAGATCGGCTTCATCGAGTACCTGGTGGCACCGTTTCTGTTGACCGTCACCAAGGTGCGCGAAAGGGACGCGCAGCTTCGAGCGGTCTTGAAATGGGACGAAACGACCTTAAGAGCAAGTCTTCTAACCTTTGATTCAATTTGGGGTCAGTCTCTAAACGACCTCTTTTGGATCCTGGATCTTGGCAACTTTAACTTTCTGGAGGGGCAGTGGTTCACAGGTTTGATGCTTCTCCTTTCTCTTCTTGCCTGGGGAGATTGTTGTGGGGTGTATAGGAGGAAACCCCCTACGGGGCCTCAGCCAATCCTCCAACACCAGGTGCTGCCACCGGCTGAGAATATGTTCACTCAGCTCATGCTCAACGTGAAAAGCTGGCAGAAAGAATGGGAGGCCGGGAGGGCTCGGTTCTCGGTTCTCGGTTCTGAACCTCCATCGTGTGAGGTCGTGAACGGAGAAAAGGGGCTGAGAAAGAACGACCCTTTTTGGTCGAAAGAACGATGGCCTGATTCATCTCATCGGAGTTTGATGAAATTCTCGTGGTAATAAGATGTAATAAGTTAAGCTATTATAGTGATATGGGTAATTCTGTGGAGAATGGAGAATGGAGGCAGGTACCATCCATTTCTCTCTCCATCTTCGAGTGTGCCAGTCCTGGTCATCGCTGTGTGAACTCCATCGGTCGCCGCTGGTGTGGGAAGCAGTGAGGAAACCATGGGTTGTTCCGAATTCGGCGCGAGGCCGTGCCCCGTGACCGTGATAGACCTATGCCCTGGGAGTCGAAGACTATACAGTGGATTGAGAGGACCTATGGCACAATCGCCAAAAGGTGGTTTATATGGATCCCCATCTAAAAGACATTTTGGGGGTTGTGCCATCTACTCTGAAACCACTGTAAAAGAATGGTTTTAGGTGACCCGAGTCAAGGAATTTCCTTTACTTCAGTCGGTCAAAACATAATCGAACTGGACTTCTAGGGTATGGATGTGTCAGCTTTGAAGACTTCTTACGGCCCGCCGGACTAGGACCCGTAACCAGGGGTACCAATATCGTCGAACTAGGGTTCTGACCCACCTCTGGATATATCAACAGATGGAGGTTCTGACCCACCTCTGGATATATCAACAGATGGAGGTTCTGACCCACCTCTGGATATATCAATGGTGATGGAGTCCCTTTAAGAGAAGGCGGTCTTTCACCAGGCAAACCGTGGCGCCTCCCGTCTTGGACTCCGCCAGGTGGAGTCGGCACCCCAGGACTCGGAGCGCCTGGCGATGCGGAGCCGCTTGGGCGAGCTCTTCCGCTCCTACCGCGAGAACAGGCGAGGTGGTTTCCACCGCCCCGGGTGGAGGAGGGCCGGTGGGTGAGGGCAGGGTGCTTGGGCAGGCTGTGGAGGTCTCTTTTCCGGCTCACGGAGGGTGAGGGCGGGTGTTAAAGCAGCCCGCAGAAATCGCGGCCCCTGCTTAGCTCATTCATCTCACATTGGTTGACGTAAGTTAGAACATGTTAACACGCTCAGCGGTCACTGGTCACAGACAGCTTGCCGTTGGCTAGCGCAAGAGCAAAAGAGCGTCAGCCTTGAGAATGTCTTCCCCATACAGAGTCCAAGGGCCTGGCGTCAATCAATCCTGGTCCGACTGACCTCATCGAGTACTGGTCTTGGGCATTGTCCCGGACCAGAAGACTAAGGACCGTAGGAAGATGAGGTCCAAGTCAAAATGAGATCCATAAGACCTGTAGGAGAATGTCTTCCCCTCGTTCTTTCTCCGTCCGTTCGTCCACGGCAGCCACGTTCAGGCCCAAGGCTGCGTGACTGGTCCGACGCGGGGAAAACCGCTGACGGCTGAGTGGCATGAGCAGTTCCAAAGAGTAGAAACCGCCAAGATTCCCAGGAGTCCTGGCCAACCATTGAATGAAAAGGGTTCTTGCTGGGACAAGCATTGTTTGACCTAGTTTTTAATTGAGATGTGTTCTTTAATATTTAGACTACAAGACAAGGTCAACATTCTTTCACTGTAATGGTCTTTGAAGGCAAGGGAATATGATAGGTAGCGTCTGAGCATTATGGTTCCCTTTTTTTCGTGCTCGTTCAGGGAGGTGAAACGCCCGGGTCACCAAGACCAAGACCTCTTAGGGCCCAGCGTCAACCAGATAAAGAAGAGGCCTGTTGGAGGATGCCGCTATGTATATTATAATCTATATATTTATAGGTATATGTATATACATATAAAGATATCTATAAAGATATGCACACACCTTTTTTGGGGGGTCTACTCTCTTTGGAAAGTAAGTGGCCCTGGAATATTCAGTTGAGCCATCTACTGGGCCCTACTGGAATTCATTTTTGGGTGGGTAGATGGCGCTCTCCTCCAATTTGGAGTTGCGCCACATGTTACTTGCTGGGAGATGGCGACGAAAGCAATAAAGACTTGAAGAAGGACGCGTGGTGCCAGGTCGGTTTCTCAGATGGTGCCAGGACTTCTCTCATCCATGCGAACGCACCTTGAATCACTGGGTAAATGCAGCTTGATGACATGATTGATGCGAATACCTGGCAGATTCTTCTCCTGAGATCTTCCTGTTGGAACTGCCGGGTCCCAATGGGGAAGCTTCGGCCCAGCTAGCCTCTGGAGCTCTCCAACCTCGGCCGGCAAGTGACACCAGCCACGGAGAATGTCATACTACCCTACCAGCCGTAGCATGTCGGAAGTCGCGGAGCCCCGAACCGTCACATCCACGGCCCCTGGGATGGGACCTTCACAAGATCCCAACTCCATGTGACTCCTGGCTTTCACCATGACAGGTCAGGAGAGAGTTCCTCTCACTGCCTGGGGGATCTGTGAACAAGGTGGGCCTCTTATGCCGGAACTTTGGTCTGGACTCATTGGAAACCACACTTGGGAGTCATGATCCACCACTACTGTAGCGGGAAAATGCGTTGTACTCTCACGGGGTATGGGAGCTTCTTCTCCCGACGAGTTCTCCGCTTCGGCGCACATCTTTTTCTCGTCTTTCTACCCCTGTCCCACGAGAGGGCGTCGTTGGCTCTGGGAAGCAGGTTTGAGCCGCCGAAACGTTTCACGTGGAAACTGCTTCTTTTAACGCAGATGCCACTGTACAAGAATTGCCATCGAATTGCATCCGCATCTCTTTTAACAGACTGGGTGTGTTTGAAAAAACCATTGCCTTTTGATGGGGGTTCGGCCCGGAAAGGCCTCCAGGGAAACCGAAAGATCGGGAACCAGATGAAGCGCCATTCATTGGTTGATTCATTTTAGAATTCTGCAATTTTTGGGTGACACATCCAGTTCCGTGAGAACCTGGGAGAGCAGTCGATCGAAGCACGCCCTGACAACGCGACCGCACACCATTCGCGACAGCCAGCGCATGCTTAGCGCATATAGGTTCTGAATTTTTCTCGAAACACGGCCGTTTTTTTGGGGGGTGACGTTGAGTAGGATGACAACTCTGCACCTGTTGAATCCGTAACCTTGTCATGCTGTTTTTTTTTTGTGTGTGTGGTCTCGTCTTAGTCTTGGGGCGGCGAGACCGGAAAACATTTCCGAGCAGATCTCGTCTTCTTTAGCAAAAGCCCTTCTGGGGCAGCTGGGGCAAGCAAACGCGGGATCGGAAAAGGGGGAACCTCGAGCGACCTGCTTTCGCACTCGTCGTGGCAGAAAGAGCACCAATTCGGGCGACTCTAGTGGACTTGCCTACCCCCCTGTGTAATGTGAACTTTCGTGTCAAAGCCCCATGGCTCAGGAGGTTTTACAATCCACGTCTGGTGTATCATATACATATAAATATATATATATATATACATATACCCTAGGCTTCCAACCACCATTAATTTAATAGGCTGAATTTTGAATCAACTAAGGATTTTACACTACAAAAGCAGGTCAACCATTTTTTAATGGTCTTGGAAGTCTAGGGTGCATATATATATAAATATTAAATATACTTTTAAAATATACATATCATAATCCAGAGTCGACATCATAGGACGAAGACCAGCTCTTTGCTCTTATGGTGCGGTAGGATCGTGTGGGTGCCCGACGTGGAGAAACACGACGGTTGGATTCCATCGAGACCCTGACCCGCCTTAGACCCATTCTGACCTGACCGGGCACCAGGAGCTTCCTGGATCAATCACAGGAGATCACAAAGAGGTGAACCCTAGAAGTCGAACCACCATTGTTTTAATAGCCTGAATCCCGAACAACCATTGTTTCACTAAGGGTTTTACACTACAAAACCAGACCAACCATTTTTAAAATGGTCGACTTGACTTCTAGGGTGAAAAATACGTGGATGGAACATCACAGATGGCGTTCGTGCATCCGGTGTCTCATGTTTCTTCCACCAGGGTCTCCAAAGGCCGGAGTCATTTGTACAGAGAAAACGGAACGGGACCAAGTTACACAAAGCGCTCTTCATTGCATTCTTATCCCATAAAAGCATGGAGGTGGACACCTCACATCCTTGAGAACACCAGGAGGCCACCACTTCCAATGTTGCGTTCCCCCCACCCATTCCTGGCAGATGGCTGCCAGGATGCCACCTGTGCCCGGTCCAGGAGACCCTCCGCGTGAACCTCAACGCGCGGGGCGACCGCGTCGTCTCCTTCGCCATTCTGGCGCTCTGCGTGGCGCCCAGCGGGACGATGCTGGCCGCCTGCACCGACAAGTCGAGGGTCATCGTCTTGCAGGCGCCCCTCGCGCCCCCCGCGGATACCGCGCGCGGGATCGATCGATCGACCCGGACGGCGGACGGCGGAGACGAGGTTCAGCGAGGTTCCGCGCCGGCGGAGGAGGGGCGTTTCGGGCGTTCGGGGCGGGGGAATGTTTGGAGTTGCGATAGAAAGGACGAATAGTCCTTTGGAACCTATTTGGGCCATTTTTTGGGTTACATACATCGTTCTCTTGGATACCATATACTATCCTTATGTAATTACTATTGTTATCCAGAAATTGGTTCAAAGAGATGTTCTTGGAGCAGTTCCAGTCCTCAGGCGCGCTCCAACCGGCAGCTCCGCAACCTCTACGGCGCGTCGGTGAACGCCGCCTGGTTGGAAGCCCACTGGGTGGTGGGACACCACCATGTCACGAAAGGTAGCTTGAGCTACCTGAGTTCTCCTTGCTTTAGCAAAAATGTATTACAATCAGGAGCTGGGATTGTGCATTGAATTTGGTCCTGTAAGAGTTGATTCTGTTCGTCGGGGGGGGGGGGGCCCCCCTGCGTCACCGAATTCTCTTACGTTACCGTACAATATCCACGTCCTGGTTGGGGG